TTATTGGGATGCATCCCCCTTAGAGTACAAAGAGACAGATGATAAACCCTCACCAGTTGAAGACAATACTACAAATTTGGCTGTTGTTAATCAGATTTCCCAAGAAAACATAGAGTCTCTGAAAACAACGAACAGGGTAAGACTAGAATTCAAGACACATCAAGAACAAGACGAAACTCTGAAAAAATGCTTTGAATGGGCAAATAAAAATCAAAATTCATATACTTTCGATGATGGCATATTACTTCATTCCGAATATATCTGTGGTGAAAACATTAAGCAAGTTGTGTTACCTTTAGAAAAAAAGAAGGGAAGTCCTAAGAATGGCACACGAAATCCCTCTTGCCGGCCACCTCGGTGAGAAAAAGACAATTCAACGAATCAAGTACTCATTCTTTTGGCCTACTATTAAGCAAGATGTTAAAAAATTCTTTGGAAAGTTGTAAAGAACTGCCCTTTACAGAAATAGAGAAAAGAAACAGAAATGATAGAAGATGAAATTGTTGAACAGGAAGCACAGAAGGAAGAAATTATAACAGGAGAAACTAAGAGGGTAGAAAGAAACAGAAGATGAACTCAAAGAGGAAAAGTTAATTGACAGCAAAATAACAGATGTAGAAATTATTCCACCTGAAAGTAAAAACGAATTTATGGGTGAGAGACTGAAATCCCAGTTGAAAAAGAAACTGTCAATGAAAGTGAAACTCAAGTGAAGCCAATAACCAAAACAGAAAATACAGATGATGCTGATGCTGAAACTGCAGCTGAAAAAGAAATATTGCAGATGACAATAAAACTCAAGTAAATCTTGATTATGAGAACATAGAAGAGAAAGAATATATTGCTGAAATTGGAAACGAGAAGGAAAAAGTAGATGATAAAAAGAATGACTTAATAATCCACAAGGAAAGTATGAAAGCTGACTTAGTAACTGAAAATGAAAATGTAAATCACACAGAAGAAGCTGCAGATCTTGAAACTGAAAATAAACTTGCAGATAACAGTGAACTATTACAATTTACTGAAAAAGAAATTCTGGATGATAACAGAAACAAAAAGTACAATAAGGACAGCATAGATACTGTTGAACTGGGAGATGAAAAAGAAAGTGTGGATTATACAACAAAAGTTGAAACTGAAAAGGAAAATGTCATCCACGATGAAACTGAAAACCACAGAAACCTTTCAAGTTCAAGGGTGAAAACATGGAAGATTGAACAGAAAGTTATTCGGATAACAGCGAAGAACTGGAAGACGAGAAAGAAACGGAACGAATTGCTGAATTAATAGAAGAGCCCGAGCCCGAGATGTAGACGATCTACATGTTGATGAAGAATTATTAGAAAAAGCAGAAAAAAAAAATTGCTGAGATTTTTTTTTTTAGTTTATAGGACTTTCACCAAGCACAGAAATCCCATATTTGAAGAAATTGATAAAGCTGAAACAATTGATGAATGGTATGAGCTACTCGACAAAGCCATTGGAAAGATAGAAGAGAAGAAAGATGATAAGGAACAACAGCTACTAGGATTGCCTACCATAGGTGAGAATGATAATGAACATAAGCCATTTACAAAAGAAATGCCCATAACATTTTTCAGCAAGAAATTAACGCCCTGTCAACAACGATGGTCAACCATCGAACGCGAAGCATTTTGTGTCATCGAAGCCTTGAAAAAATTTGACACATGGATTTTCGGTGCCAAAGTGCAGATTGTGTCTGATCACAATCCCCTCACCTACTTGACCCAAAGCGCCCCTCATGGTGCTAAACTGTCTCGTTGGGCCTTAGCGTTACAACGGTATAACATGACTGTGACATACCGCAAAGGAAGTTCACATGGGAATGCTGATGCTTTGTCAAGGTTAGCTGTTAACTTTTTCTCTCTCAATGAACTCTGAGCAACATTGTCTCTACGGTGACGAATGTGCTTCTTGTGGGGAGACTTGTAAAGATCGTGACTTGTAAAGATCATGACTTGTGAAGATCGTGACTTAAAGAGAACGTGAAATATAAATAATAGGACAAGAACTTTCATTTTACGGTGTGGCAACAAGAAGAGGATTCGAAAGATTTTTATATATTTTGTTTTAGAGAGTTTAAGATTTTACTTTTTTAATAGTTGTAAGAGTTTAACTGTAGTAGTTAAGAGTTTAAAATTTTGATAGTTTAGAGCTGCAGTATTTATTTTTTTTTTTTGGTTCTGTTTTAAAATTTAAATAAAAGTATTTTGTTTATTCTGAAAAATTAGCTTTATTCTTCCTACAAGATTCAATATTCATTATATTGAAATAAGGAAAGGATTTTTACTAAAAGTATGTTTTTTTAATAAAAATAAAACCAAACATTTATTTCTTAAAGCCCAAATTAATACCACATTATTATTTCTTGCAAAAATAAAAACAAAATATAAATAACAAAACGAATATTCTTAAAAAAAACAAATAAAACTCTCAGTCAGTCATATTTAGTTAGCCTTCCGCGTTTTCAGTGTTCTGCCTTTTTGTGACAAAAGCATCTAATGTTGTTTGCCTTTTTCTTTTGCGTTGTTCTCTTAAAAGTTCTTCATAAACGGATAGAGCATCTCTAACACCCCGCCTTACTTTTGAGCTCCTGTCAAAATTCGGATCATTTTCAATGAATTGATCCATTATTTCAGTTATGGTAGACAAACTCCTTTTTACAAACGCCATCGAAAGTTCTTTTTGCTCTTCTTCTGAATCACTGCTGTCAACATTTTTGTTTTCTTCTTGTTCAGTTAATTCCTTGAGCTCATCATTAGAAAGACTAGCCGCTGCTTCTTGAATTATTTCTTCGACATCTTCCACATTTACCCCTTCAAAATATGTCTGTACGATACCGCACCAAACAAGAAATACAAGTACACTCTTTCGGATATGTATTTGAAACCTATAGCTGCATAATATTTCGGGGAATCCCCGTATGCTGCGAGCGATTTCGTGGAATCCCCGGGTTGAAATAAAAGAGCGCTAAACCGAAACAGCGCTAAACGAAACAGCGTTAAACGGGGTCTTACTGTAATACTTTTTTATTATTATAATTTATATGAAAAAGGATAAACATGACCGAATGGAAGCATAAGCGTAAATAACTATTTCAGATCATTATTATAATTTATATAAAAAATGCTAAACATAACTGAATGGATGCCTGTATCGCTATTTCGCTACCGACTTATCGCTAAAGTATAATTTCATCTCGTTGGTTGTTCAAACGTAATTTTCTATAATGAATGATGCCTTTTCTTTGAAAATATTCAGAATCGGAATTCAGAAGTGCAGAATCGCTCACTTATTTGTTTGCCGCTTTTTACAAGGGTAAAAACAATTAGATTTTTGTCAATTTTATTTTACTTTTCAAATGAAAATAGGTCGATGTGTACATAGATAAAGTCAAGGGGGTGCGCAGTGCAATTTTTGTCACAATTCTGGGATTTTTTTTAAGGGAAAATAGGTCGATGTGCCCATGGATACCGAGTATGCGCAATTCTTAAAAACGCTTTAAGTAGTGTGTGATTCTGCAAATTGTTAAATACATAGGATATCAAAAAAGGATTTAAAATCAAAAAAGGATTTAAAAATTAAACTAGTATTTCAATGGCGTCTTAAATATAGAACTATAGTCAAAAGTCCTTAATCCGGACACCCACAATCCGGAATGACCTATAATCCGGACCTCAAAGCTACAAACATTCTGCCCATGCGTCAACGCATAATGCGTTGACACATGCGCGTAATATCTTTACGCATGCGCGTAATACGTTTACGCATGCGCGTAATACGTTTACGCATGCGGGTTTAATGTATAACCGACGGTATAAGCTATACTAAAATTATCTAATTATCTATTTCAGTTAATATTGCAGATTGCGTTGTTCCTTAATCTTCGAATTGGATCCGGCTTATTATTTTTTGCAGACAGTTATAACAATTTTATAGAAGTAAGTTCGAACTTTCGATTGTGTCAAATAGAATTTCCGATGCTGGATCTACAAAGGGAAAGCATGTTTCGATGTCCATCAAACAAAAAGTGGAATTGCCGCAAAAAATGGATAAAGGCTTCTTTGTTTCTCTAGCCATTCCGAAATCTGTTTATCAATTTCACGCTGCTCTGCGTCGAGGGGGGGGGACGTCGCGGAGCGCAATGAACTGGAAATTGATCTGTCAGCACTATCCTTATCTTCAGGGAAGATGTTTTTATTTTATTCGGCTTATAATTCCTTACTAAATGTAGTATTTCATCTCGATGTACTCCGTCTTTGATATGATTTAAATCAAATTCCTCCTCATTATAAATATCACGAATACAAATCAAATAGTTTTCTGGTTGCAATTTTCTAGTTTCGACTATGCATAATGTATGCTTTACGCTTGCGCGCGTTGAAAGAAATGTTTAATAAAGTAAGCAAATAAATATTAAGCTTTTTTTTTTTTTTTTTTTTTTTTTTTGTAAATTTTGATACCTTTTAGATCATAATTGATCTTTATGTCATAAATTACGGTTTCATATTTTTAATTTTATAATTTCTGCATGCCATCCTACCAGATTTAAATTGATGATCCAAAATCCGGAATCGCCGAAGTCCCGACGACCCCAGATTAAAGACTTTTGACTGTATGTAAACTTACGCAATCTGAAACCAACGCGTACGCTAGATTTGGCGCGTTTGCTATATTTGGCACTTTTGCGAATAGATTTTCGCTGCAATTTTTTTACGGCCTTCAAAACAGAAGAGATCTATGATGTCTATGACCCAGATATCTAAGAAATAATGACAGCAATTATTCATTAAACGAAATTTAAAAAACTTTTTTTTTTTTTTTTTTTTTTGATATTCTTCTCTTGACACAGAAAGCGAAATTACTCTTGTAATCAATACAGATGTAAACAAACATTTCTGCACGTGTGGTCAGAACCCGAAGATACCAGAAAAGGTCTCTGCGCAACGAGTAAGACATTTGGCGTTTGTACTATCAAGAGTGTAAGTTGGTTGGTTACTGTATATCAGCTAAACGTCCTACGTCGGACTGATAGACACAGCCCAAACTTCAGAAACCTCAACTCTTAATAAATTAAATAGCAGACAGTAGATTAGATTTCTGATAGTATGTTGTATCTCTAGGCTCGAATTTGTTTTGTTGGAGTACAAAGTCTTAACACCATCCTCTAGAACTCTACTTATCTGTTTCGAACTTAATTTCGTAAGAGATACTTGCTAGTTTCTTCTATCTGCTGTTCTACTCTTTTACCTCAAAATAAATTATATTTACCACTTCTGTTGACTGAAAATTTTTAATAATATTCCATAATTCCTCAGATAGCAATGACTAGTACTGCAACAGCTGCTTTGCGAGCTGCAAAGGCTGCATTACGAGGTGAATTGAAAAAAAGAATTGCTAGTATACCGCATGAAGAACAATTCCGTCAGTCTAAAATAGTGACTGAAAAAGTAAGAACACAACTTAATGAAACATTTTAGTTTGAAATAGTAAATGTTCTAACTTAACATATGTACCGCTCTTGATCATACTAAGATATTAAAAATGTAACTTTTTGTATTTTGGAAGTTTAAGGAATAGATGTAATTGTTTTTTATTCAAATGACGTAATGAAATTTCCGCAGTGTATGTTTTATTTTCAGTTTAATAATACTGTGCCTTTATCTGATTTTTTGTAATTATATAAGTATTTTCTTTTTCTTTCAATTTTTGGGTTTTGCTAAGTTCTAAACATATTAGATATCCTCTTAATGCTATATATGTTATTGATAAAATAATTAATAGGTTGTTTGTAAAATGCTCAATCAATTCATTATTTTGGTTTATAATTAGCTGCATGCAGTGAGCTCATTTAATTTATTATTCTAATTGGGCATTAAGCATAATATTTCATACTTTTGGGGCACTATCTTTTAGTTATTTTATGATCAATTTTGATACTTTTTCAGGGAAAGTGAAGAATTACCCACTGCTGGCGTGTTTTTAAGAACTGCACATACTCAGTATCTATGTACACATCGACTTATTTTCACTTAAAAAAACATCCCAGAATTGCACAAAAATGGCATTGTGCACTCCTTTGATTTTATCCATATACACATTGACCTATTTTCACTTAAAAAGTCAAAGAAAATCCAAATTGACAAAAATCCAATTACTCTTTTATGTAAAAAGCGCCAAACGAATAAGTGGGCAATTCTGCACTTTGCCCCATTTTTCTTATTTGCACACTCGAAAACAGGATTCCGACACATTGGTGACTTTATGAATTGATGAAAAATGTTTGTTTGGTAAACTTTATAGCTCATAGGTAATTTTGGTTGATCTTTACAATATGGTAACTGGTAGTTTGCCGACATTTTGGAGGCGATAAAGGTTACTACCTGGGACTTTGGTAATAATGTGAGCGGTACTCAGTTCCGATTATGCATTATTTTGTGTGAGGAAAATGAGAGATCATGGGATATGTCGTGATATTAATGGACGAATCACGGTTCTTTAATCGGAAAAGGGGGGAATCGGGAAAAAATCTGGAAATTTTGTATTTGGCTTTATTCTGTGTTGTGTGAAACAGTTAGGTGAATTTTTGGATCCCATGGCCGTAACTGAAGTGAATTCGAAATGGGTATTTATGTATGTATTAATTTAATGTATGTGCTCATTTATATTTTAAGTAGTGTTTTTGAATTTAATTATATTTTAATTAAATGATAGTTATTTTGTGAATTTTATGTTTGTAGGAATTTGGTATACGTTTTAGTTGAAGTAAACGTGCATGGAAATTTTTATATTTAAATATCTGACACTAAGTATTTGTAATGGTTGCGGTATGAATTCGTTGGTGACGTGTATAATGTAATAGATGATTTAGAGGTAAAAGTTTTTGGATATTTTATTTATTATATGTGGAAATGTTCATATTTGGAAAGGGTAAATACTTTTTCGCGATCAGGTAATTTCATATATGTTCTTTTTACCGGGTTTAAAGATTGAGAAAAATTGTCATGTATTTTCGTGAAATTTTTGTAATTTATGGGAAAAAGCAGTGTACATGGATATAGTGAAGAGTGTGCGCAATGCCATTTTTGTGCAATTCTGGGATGTTTTTTTAAGTAAAAATAAGTCGGCGTGTACATGGTTTATGTGTATGTGTTATTTTGAAAAACGCGTAAGGAGTATGGTATTGTGCACTTTTTCCCAATTTTGCAGTGAATATTTGTCATGATTAAGCAGTTTTGTTAGATAAAATTTCTAGCATAAGTGTAATTCGGCTAGCAGATTGTTGGAAGAAGTGTTCAGTAGATAAAAAGAAAAGAAACATGTCTTTACTTCCTGAAGACAAAATGGTGGCGGGGAAAAAAATAGAGGGTTGCTGTAGGAGAGTTGGTCGCCAAATTTTCACCAAAAAATGCCAAGTTACCATAATGTAAAGATCAACCGTAATTTTCTGTTTATAAATGGTAGTTAAATGAAGACTTTCATGAGACAAAACAGAAATCAGTACTTTCTAATTATCTGCATGCCCACTGAAAAACATCAAGAAAATATTGATAAAGCAATGCATCATTTTGCCAAAAGGTATATACCAGGTTGTTCAATAAGTTCGCGGAACGTAAATGAAGAAACCAATTTTTATTTGTAAAAATGACTATTTTTCAACGTAGTTTCCCTTAACTTCAATACACTTATCCCTACGGTCTTCTAATTTATGGATCCCTTGACTGTAGTGGTTTTTCGGCAGCTCTGCAAAATATCCCTCCACGGCAGCTATTACCTCTTCGTTTGAAGAAAATCGTTTTCCACGGAGATATTGTTTGAGGTGTGGGAAGAGCCAGAAGTCGGAGGGAGCTAAATCTGGCGAATAGGCTGGATGTTGCAAGAATTCGTACTTCAATTCAGTTATTTTAGCAATGGTTTTTTTTAGCTGTGTGTGCAGGTGTGTTATCTTGGTGGAAAATGATTTTCTTCTTCTGTAATCTGGGTCTTCTTTCACGAATTTTTTTCGTCTAATTGATTCAAAAGGTTACAATAATAATCCAGATTAATTGTTTTGCCAGTTTGAAGGTAATCTATAAACAAAATTTCTTTTGCATCCCAAAAAACTGATGCTAACACCTTCTTGGCTGGTTTTTGCACACGAACTCGCTTCGGTGCCGAAGAACCGGGTTCACACCACTCCTTAGCCTCCTGTTTTGATTCAGGATCATGATGGTAGACCCAAGTCTCATCCATTGTGATAAATCGATGGATAAAGTCGCTTTTATTCTTCTTAAAACGCTCCAAATGTTACTGGCAAAGTTGCATCCGAATGTATTTTTGCTCCATCGCTAGAAAATGCGGCACCCATTTTGCACAGATTTTTTTTAAACCCAAATAAACACCCAAAATATTGCTCACTGTGCCCAATGAAATACCCAAAGCCTCTGTTAAATCTGTTTCAGTCAGTCGACGGTCTTCCAATACCATATCTTGTATTTTTCCAATGATTTCCTGTGTTGATGCAGTTTTTGGACGTCCCTCTTGCGGATCGTCTTCAAGGCTGGTACAACCACTTTTGAATAAACTAGCCCACTTGCAAACCATTGTTTTTGAAGGAGCAGATTCACCTAACACATTCACCATTTCGGTATGAATTTCCATTGCCTTTAAATCTTTCTTTACAAAGAATTTGATAACTGCACGTTGCTCAATTTTATCCATACCTGAAAAAAGAAACAACATGTTAGATATAAAGGGCGGTTAAACAGTGAATAAATTAACAGATCGAAATGAAACTTTTGACATGTTCCTAAGAAGAACAAATATGAAAATGGCATTGAAGTTTTAGGTCTAATATTGACGAATAGATGGCACTCCGCAAACTTATTGAACAACTTTGTATATGGCAACCCAGCCCTCGCATGTGTATAGTATCTCCCTAGATGGTTTTCCACTTCTCTGAACATTTGACTGCAGATTATAATCCTTCATATAGGAAATTCAGTGTCTTAACATAGTACCATATAGTATAGTTTACACCATCTTCAGAAAACAGGGAATGCCACGGCGCGCAATGAATTGGAAGTCTGTCAGCACTATCTTTATCTTCAGGGCAGACATTTTTATTTTATTTGGCTTATAATTCCTTACTAAATGTAGTATTTCATTTCGATATACTCCGTCTTTAATATGATTTAAATCATATTCCTCGTCATTATAATTCGCTTCAGATAGTGAAGAAAGTGACACGGAGGTTATTGAAAACGGAAAAATTTCGATTGACAAATCAGTCGGTAATCTCAACACAGCAATTATAGGACTTGAACAGTGGAACTTTGTAACTGAACAAGAAATTATGTCTGTTTAGAGAATTAAAGAGAAAGTATTATCACATGAAACGAAGCAACCTAAACAACTTACATTGAAAGAAATGTTTAATAAAGTAAACAAATAAATATTAAGCTTTTTTATTTGTAAATTTTGATACCCTTTAGATTTAGATCATAATTGTTCTTTATTTCATAAATTACGGTTTCATATTTTTAATTTTATAATTTCTGCATGCCATCTTACCAGATTTAAATTGATGATCTATAATCCAGAATCGCCGAAGTCCCGAAGAGTCCGGATCAACGACTTTTGACTGTACATCTTCTAAAAGTTTTTGAAAACGTAACATTTCTTCCTTATGGTATAAATTACGCAACATGTTTGCAGCTTTATGTGCTATCACAAATGAACAACGTTACAGCAATACAAATAGGCGGGCTGGGTTTGAAAGACCCAATCCGATCGAAACAAAACTTCGAATCAAATTTCAGGTGAAAAACTTTGGAATAATAAAGAGGATGGCCTTGGAGGAGATTACACTGAACCACAACCACTTGGGAAAAATAGGGGCGTTTTTTAAAAGGTTTCTTTAATCGGATGGGTCTATTGGACCCAGCGCGCTCGCGGGTTAACAAGTTTACTGCCATCTGTATACATATAAACAGTGTTCATAGAGACATTATTAATTAATGTCTGACCATAGAAGCTTCCTCTTACCCCATCCATGAATAGTTCAGAAAATAGATAGAATGCATTGTTGAAATGCATGCTAACATATCCAAACAAATGTTTCTCTCTAAAGTCACCAACAAATTAATGCATGAATAGTAGTTAATGAACTGATAAAGTTCATATTCATTCAGAGTTCCAAAAATGTACATTGGCTTGGAATTATGTATATATTTGCCAAGTGTTTCAGTTTCATTGACCAACCTTTGTAAGTGATAGGTTATACTAGTTCTCTTAAATGTTTAATATTTTCCAGGTACTTGAGAATGCTCGTTTCAAAGGATCCCGTCGTATATCAATATATCTTAGCATTAATGAAGAAATAAGAGTTCAGACTGCTGGGATATTGGAGCAAATATTTAAGCAAGATAAAGAATGTTTTGTCCCCAAGTTCACGTTAGTATCTTTTTTCCCCCAGCAAAGTATTTAATTAATACTTTTGGGGTTCTTTATCTGTATACTGGTAGTGAAGATCATTATGCAAATGCATGCACATAAACAGAAAATGTTGAATTCATTCTTATGAGGGGGATGAAACTCAATATTCTTGTAATTTTTTTTTTTTAAATAATTATACAGTATTTATCCAATTTCATTAAATACAGTTTCACTCTGTTGATAGCATGGGGTAAAATCCCATTTAATGACACTGTATAAAAGTAACATTGAGTCTGAAAAAAAATTAGCCACTCCATTTTTTAAATCGGATTGGTGCTTTAATTAGTTTGATGTTAAATAAAATCATGATGTTTAGAAACAAAAGATGTAATAAGTAACCATATACTGCTTTTCTTTGTTAAATTAGCAAAGATTTTATCTGAGCCACAATGCTTATTAACAAATTGTAATAAATTTAATCTATTTAAATAATTTTATATCTTAACTAATAATGGTTTTACTGGAAAAAAATGCTTGCAAAATAAAAAAATGTGAACCCATTTTTATAATGAATTTTTAGTGCTTGAATAAATTATTTTGTGTAATTATCAACTAAATAATTTTTTTTATTGACAAATTTTAATTCACTGCCATTTCTATAAGGGGTGAGCATATTTGCCATATTTAGTAATTTAGCACTTGCATCCATCTAACATGAAAGTACTGTGATATTTTTTTCATTATCTTATTTAAAGTACCTATTTTATAAAATATTCAAATGTTGTGAGAACTGTATGTAAAAATACTGAAGAATTAAATCTCTGTCTAAGAGAAGTCTAATAAAAGCCTGACAATCCAACATTCAAGTAATAGGAATATTTTAAAAGGTTAAAGGGTGCCCTTTGTATTATTGCAAAGTTGTTGTTTCATTTATCGCCAAGTTGTTTCATTTTCGCCATGTTGTTGTTTCATTTATGGTAACCTGAGTAGTTGAATGTTATAGAAATCCTATTATCAGTGGCATCATTGGTAAATTTGTATGGGCTTTTGGTGTGTGTTGGTTAGGAAGTATATTGCTTGTTTTGTGGTTTAGACACTAAAATGTCTGAATGTGGTAATATTAATTTGAAGTTTCTGTAGGATTTGGAATGAAAGGAGCAAAGTTAATTGACTGGTGTGTAAATGAAGGTTTAACTTAGTAGCCATTATAAGTGTCCTGTTTGTAGGAAGGATATACGTACGGTCAAACGATAGCAATGCTACAGAGGATATTTTTTACTCTTTATTTTGTGAATTTATGTGGCGAAGCCAGTATACAAATTCTAGTTCAGATAATTTTAGGAAGTTTTTGGATGCTGTTAAAGAATTTTGTTTGAAGACATGTTAATTCGTAAATAAGGTGAGTGGATATTTCCTTTGTGTAGTACAAAGATGAATTTCCTTTTTTTATATTATTTCATTGTTTGATTTCATATATTTATTGAGATTATATTTTTTTGTTGGCTGCTTCTTTGACTTTTTAAGTGAATATAGTTCAATGTGTATGTGGACAAAGTTAAAGGGAGTGTGCAGTGCCTAGTTTGTGCAATTCTCTGATGTTTTTCTAAGTGAAAATAGGTCGATGTGTACATGGATAAAGTTAAGGAATTGTGCAATGCCAAGTTTGTACAATTCTCTGAATTTTTTTTAAGTGACAATAATTTGATGTGTACATCGATACCAAGTTTGTCTAATTCTTTGTCTTGCTACTTTTGGCTTTGTGTAGCGACGATTTTTGGCACACAAGTCACCGCTACACAAGCCGAAATAACTAGTGAAAGAGTTGCCCAAACTCAGTATCCATGTACCGCTAAAAATCGCCAATTTTCGCCAAGGGTTACCCGTAAATATATTTTTACCAGAAGGTTAGATTCTCTGACATTCTACGTATTCCCCTAAGTTCTTCAAATCGGCATCATTCTGATAAATTGAAAAAAGTAATATTCTTGATTGCATGCAAATTTCAGAAAAATGTTAGATGTACCTATTTTCAATTAAGTCACTCTGTTAGCTGAAAGAATGAAGTTATTTAACTCAGCACTTTCGATTAGAGCTAGTGACATTTAATCCAATCAATTTCTCCAATCAGGAAACAAATAGCATGATTGTTGATAATGACAATGCAACACAGCAGAACAGTGTTTTAAACTCTACTAAAACTCAAATGGGAATGAACTTTTCCGTGTAGACCCAGCTAGGTGCAACCTTTATCAAGGCCCTCATCCTGCAAGCTACTCAGGTTACCGAAGAATCCCCCACAAACTTACGTGGAACTAACAACTTCATTCACAATCAGATAAAGAACTCAATCTCTAGCTCAACTGTAAACTACGGACTTCTAACTCTAAGCCATTGCAGCTCCAGTCGGTTTTCATTTGTTGTTTATCAAAGCTCTGAACCTCAAAAACATTCCAGCAGTTCTTCTATCATTAGTAACATTTCATTTATCAAGATTTTAAAATTTGGACCATATAATAACCTAGGAAGAAACTAGAAATGAAAAAAGAAACTGGGAAAACTAATAAATTCATCTCCATGGCTTAGATAATAGGCAAATGTTCCAAACTTCAGGCTGAATAAAACGAGAAACATTCTATCAAATCTTAGCATGCTATTGGTCTTGTAAAAAGAAGGAAGACTTGCAGCGAATCAAACAATTATTGAGGCCGAACAAGAGTTCAGCCCCAATACTTCTTTGAAAGAATAATTAAATTTTAATTTGGAATTACTTTTTATTATGTGCCATATCTTAGAGATGAATGAAATTGAGAAATCTTGAAATTTATATTAAAAATAAAATAAAATAAATAATTTTTGCTCTTTTCACGTGAAAACAGAAAGTAATGGTAAAAAATGTATTGATGCATACAAACATATTTAAAAATAAAAACTATAAAAATTGCTGTAATAGTGTAATGGACTTACTTCCCTTTTCATGAATTCACCGAGTCTATTTTTTACCATTTTATAGTGAATTTTTTCCAGCCATATTTGTATTGGAAATTCTAACTTCATTAATTTTCTCTTGCAAATGATTGCAAACTAGATCAAGGATTGAAGTAGAGTAAATACAAGTGTTTTGATTACATTGAATCCCAGCATATAAAGTCCACAGTTTGTAAATATGAGTGAGCATTATGATTCGGGTGGTAGTCTTGATAATGTTTAATTTATGCCCATTTTTTGTGTGTTGCATTTCAAATTTTGTTTTAAAATATTCAAATACATAAAATTACAGAAATACATTAATAAAATAAAAATTTAAATGCTGCAAGCTTCTCGTCTAGCCCAAGACCATCTGGTTATTGCCTGTCTGATCATTTATTGAAGGAGTGAGATTCTTCATTTGAAGTTCTGTACTGGGTTTTTAACCACACACACACATTTACTTTAATTACTCCCAAAATATCAAGTTTAATTACATCTGTAAATATAGCCAAATTCTCAAAATTTTTTAACTATGCCCTTCGATTCAAAAATGACTTTCTTCTATTTGACCATAAAATTATTTTCTTAAAATATTTCTAAAAAGGTAGGTTTAGTAAATATTCTTTCACTTCCGATTCCTCTAATTTCAGGATTATAAATGACATTTCTGACAGTCCACTTTTTGTCGGGTTTAGTAAATCTCCTCGGATGCCTTGCTTGTGGTTTGTTTTTAAGTAAATTTGCTGTATAGTATTTCAGATCAGTATTATAAATCAGTTGGTCATTTTTGGTTTGGTTTATTTGATTACGCCAAAGCACTCGAGGGCTATGTTCCTGGTAAGAGGGATACTTTTGAGGAGGACTTTCTAAGGAGAACTGGCTCCAATACACGTTACACATGAGGAAAAACCACGAAAATGCTCTTGTAGGCAGGCCGTTTGCTGGGATTCAAGTGCTGGATCGAACTACCAACGTCCAGCGATGTTACTACTCAGTTGCTGTTGGGGCTACCTAGGTTAGCAAAATAGGTCTTAAACTGTATCTTTTCCATGTTTATAAGCCTTCTTCCATACGTTTTATAGTACAGTACAAGGTCAGTAATCCGGAATCGTCAGGACTTTGGCGATTCCGGATTAGGGGTTTTTCCAGATTATAGATCATCAATTTAAATCTGGTAGGATGGCATGCAGAAATTATACATTTAAAAATATGAAATCATAATTTATGAAATAAAGAACAAATATGATATAAAGGGTATCAAAATTTGCAAAAAAAAAAAAAAAAAAAAAAGCTTAATATTTATTTGTTTACTTTATCAAACATTTCTTTCTGTCGTTGTGTAAGATGCTTCCACAAAAAATTCAAGAAGTTCCTTTTTCTTGTGTCACATATAGTGGACTTTCCAATCCATACTTCTCACATAATTTTGAGACGGATAGGCCTTTGTCCATATTTTGCAGTAATTCCATGTTTTGTTTAACCTTTTGAGGCCAGGGATTCGGTAGCAGTAAAAGCTACCAAAGGACGGGGAATCCAGAACGGAATGCTTTTCCCCCTTTAAGAAATCACCTCCTATTTGCAACAAAGATTCTTGTGTGTAGTTTAATGAATTCTTAGAGGGGTGCATCTATGTCGCAAAAGGAAGACCTTTGAAAGAGATAAGTGGTTAAAAACACCAGGGACGTCAAATTTGACATTTCATCCCACTTGATAGCCTGGAAAATGGAGGAAAAAGACATGGCCACTAAAGTGGACAACCCCGTCTTACACATATGCGTATGCGTAAAAGCATCATTTATGCGTTTACACATGCACATAAAGTTTGTAGGAGCCTACCAGCGGCCGAGTGGTAAAGGCGCTGAGCATTGGTAGTTCGGTCCGAGGTTCAAATCCCGAGAACGGTCTGGCTGCATGGGTGTTTTCATGGTTTTTCTCATGTGCATCGTGTATACGAGCCAGTAGGCCAATAGCCCTCGTGTGCTTTGCCATAATTGAATAATCCAATCCATAAATTTTGTAGCTTTGAGGTCCGGATTATAGATCATTCTGGATTATGGATGTCCGGATTACAGACTTTGTGCTGTATAAGTCTGTTAGAACTGACTCTTTGTAACATTTGTACCGCAATGCTTTATCTTAATTTCGTATGTGCTAGAGTAGCTTGACTAGTCTTTGACAGCTAGACACTTTGTATGATAGAAAAGAAGGTTGGTTAGAGTAGAGCGAAGGGTACTCCTTGTGTTATCATAAAGTTGTTTCATTTATCGTAGCCTGAGTAGTTGAATGTTATGGAAAGCCTATTATCGGAAAAATCATTGTGCTAAATTTGTAAGGGTTTTTGTTGTGTGTTGGTTAGGAAGTGTATTGCTTGTTTTGTGATTTAGAAGGTAAAATGGCTGAATGTGGTAAGTTTAATTTAGAGTTTCTGTACGATTTGGAATGAAAGGAGCAAAGTGCATTAATTAACTGGCGTGTAAATGAAGGTTTACTTAGTAGCCATATAAGTGTCCTGTTTGTAGGAAGAAAAACCGTATGGTTGAACATATGAACATATGGAAGATATCGACCCTATGAAGGATATTTTTGACTTTTTTTTTTTTTTTTTTATGGAAATTATGCGGCGACGCTGATATACGGATTCTAGTTCAGATAATTTTAGGAAGTTTTTGGATGTTGTTAAGGAATTTTGTGTGCCACAGTTTGAAGGACACAGACATTTCTAGATAAGGTAAGTGTATATTTGCTTTGTGTAGTGCTTAGGTGCATAAGATAAATTTACTTTTTAGTTCAAAGGAGCTTTGTCCTTGAAGGACTGTTGTTTTCATTTTGTGATTTTGCGTTGAATCGCTATAAACGGCGAATCACTTTTCAAACTGTTGCCACCAATTGTTAGAGTCCTGCATTATATTTTCTGAAATTAAATAATGAAAAATCTGCAAAAATGTATGTATATTTCTCGCATTGGGATAAAACAACGGTACATAAAGCCATTGAATTTTGAATGATGTAATCCTTCTATGAATATGATGGGCATGTGGAAGACCAAATTTGAAATCTGAATTTTTTGTTTTATTATCGATTTCATATTTTGTAAAACTTTTACCAAATTTTTTAGTAACAAACTCAACGATTTAAAAGCCAGCAATGGCAACACTCGACAGGGAACAAAAATCCTTTTTATCTCCAGCATGCAGAACTGTGTATCGGAAATTCTAAAGATATGCTCATTTTAAAATTATTTTTGGACATTGCTATTGAACTGAAATTTATGGTTTAAGCGTTAAGAACATGATATTTAATAAATAAAGGTAACACACAAAACGTTAAAAAAAAGCCCCTTTGCATGTAATCTGAAAACTCTCAGATTTTTTATGAGTTATTTATGTTATTTTATTGTTTTATTTAAAATGTAGTGTAATTATGTTTTTTTTGCTTGGCTGTAGTATAGAATTGTGTGGTTCTTAAGTGAAAATAGATCGATGTGTACATGGACAAAGTCAAGGGAGGGCGCAATACCAAGTGTTTGCAGTTCTCTGATTTTTTTTGGAAGTAAAAATAGGTTGATATGTACATGGATAAAGGGAGTGTGTAGTGCCAAGTTTGTGCAATTCTCTGATTTTTTTTAAGTGATAATAGGTCGATATGTACATGGATACTGAGTTTGTGCAATTCTTTGACTTGTTATTTCGTCTTCGTGTAGCAGCGAATTTTTGCGCAAAAATTGCTGCTACAAAAAGCCAAAATAAGAAGTCAAAGAACTGAACAAACTCTCTATCCATGCACTGCCAAAAATCGCCAGTTTTCATCAAGAGGCATTCGAAAAAAATATTTTTACCTTTTAGAATTTTAGAAAAAAAATTTGCAGTTGAGAGGCTAAAAGTTTACAATTGGGTGCCCCTTGTTTTATTGGCAATTCTTTTTTGATACCAATATCAGCGCCAAGAAGGCACAATTTCAAAATGGCCACTACACAAAAACCAAATTAAGAAGTCAAAGAATTGCTCCATGTCTGTGTCCATGTACATATCGATCTATTTTCACTTAAAGAAACATCAGAGAATTGCACAAACTCAGCACTGCACACTGGCTTGACTTAGTCCATGTATACATTGATCGGTTTTCACTTAAAAGAATCAGGAAGCTAAAACCAAGTTAAAACTATCATGGTAATCAGAAATGAAGTTTCATCACCAAAACTGAACAAAATTTGTCGCCAATCAAAGGTGCACCCAATTGTACACTAGAGCTGCAGAGATTTGTAATACTATTATAAAACTCGTAATACTATTAATATACATACATTGTCGCTAAACAGTGTGATTTAGCACCAATAATAGATTAGTATGATGTCATAACATAATCGTAAAACATTTGTTTTGATTTAATGTTAACTCGATTAATTCTCAGTAAGCTAGTTTAATTTTTTAAAGAAATATATATGTTCTGTTTTTTCCCTCACATTTAAAAAAAATAATTGGTTAGTCTATATTTTAGGGTGCCACCTTGGATTATCTCCAAGTTGTTTCGTTTATCTCCAAATTGTTGTTTCATTTATGTTAACTTGAGTAGTTGAATGTTATGGAAACCCTATTATGACGTGATTGCAGTGAATTTGACTGATGAGAAAATATTTGTAAGGGATTATTTCTGTGTTGGATGGTGGTTAGGAAGTACGCTGCATATTTTGTGCTTTGCATTGCAAAATGGCTGCCGGTAGTACAGAACGAGAGAGCAGAAGGTGTTTGTTTTTAAAGTGTTTAAGGACAGAAGAAAAGAAACTTTGTTGGATATAATTCAGTAGAATATTTTACATGAAGCAACGATCATATCCAACTACTGGAAGTCATATGATTGTCTTTTTGATTCTGGCTTCCTTCACTACTCAGTAAAGCATGCAGTGACATTTAAGGATCCGGAAACCGGAGTTCACCACTGCTCTAGTATATCTGAAATTATAATGATTTAATCTTTTCATTGTAAGGACTGTGTTAAATAAATTGAGTTGTTTTGTCTGTGTTTCTGGTGTAGTCATGTATTTTTTAGATTTTTTGTAAATAAAAATTTAATTCATTATTTTAATTGAAATAAAATTTTTTTTCTGTATTCAAGCAAGTAAAAAATCAATTGTTTCACTTTAACAAAGGTTTGTTTTGCTGAAATAAATATACAGTCAAAAGTCTTTAATCCGGACGTCCATAATCCGGAATGATCTATAAACCGGACCTCAAAGCTACAAACTTTCTGCGCATGCGTAAACCCAGTGCATATGCGTATACACATGCGCATAATACGTTTACACATGCACGTTTAATGTATAACGGATGGTATAGCTAAGCTAAAATTATCTAATTATCTATTTCAGTTAATGTTGCAGATTGTGTTGTTCCTTAATCTTCTAATTGGATCCAGCTTATTATTTTTTGCAGACTGTTAGAGCAATTTTATAAAAGTAAGCGTGAACTTTCGATTATCTCAAAAAGAATTTCCGATTCTGGAGCTGCCAAAGGATCTACAAAGCGAAAGTATGTTTCGATGTCCATCAAAAAGTGGAATTGGTGCTAAAAGTGGGTAAAGGCATATCCTTTGTTTCTCTAACCATTCCGAAATCTGTTTATCAATTTCACGCTGCTCTGCCGGGTAGGGGAACGTCGCGTCCTTATTTTCAGGACAGATGTTTTTATTTTATTCGGCTTATACTTCCTTACTAAATGTAGTATTTCATCTCGATGTACTCCATCTTTGATATGATTTAAATCAAATTCCTCGTCATTATAAATATCTCGAATACACATCAAATAGTTTTCTGGTTGCAATTTTCTAATTTCGACTATGCGTAGTGTATGCTTAACGCATGCACGTGTTGAAAGAAATGTTTAATAAAGTAAACAAATAAAATATTAAGATTTTTTTTTGTAAATTTTGTTACCCTTTAAATCATAATTGCTCTTTATTTCATAAATTACAGTTTCATATTTTTAATTTTATAATTTCTGCATGCCATCCTACCAGATTTAAATTGATGATCTATAATCCGGAATCGCCGAAGTCCCGACGTGTCCAGATTAAAGAATTTTGACTTTATTTTTTTCTGTAACTAATGTAATCTTTATTGAAATAAAATATAATAAACAAAATAAATTAATAAAATACAAAGAAAAGAAAATCATCTAAATTTTGTGAGTATCTGGGCTTTTTATGAAGTTTTTTTTTCATCCATCATATCGATTACTTTAATCAAAATGTTTATGAATTTGTTATCATATAATAAAATTTTTATTTAATGAATTATTTTATTTTGTAGACCAAATAGTCATACAATGGCCATGTTAAAAATTCATTCTTTAGAAGATTATGCTAAGCTTGTTGCTGATAACTGGGAGGTGAAACCTCCCACTGATGAAGATATGAAGCGGGAAGATGCAAGTTCTACAGGTTTGTTATTTTAAATCTATTAAAATAATTTGCATATTTACTAGTTTCATAAAAATAATAATTCTGAAGTGTATGGTCATGAATCTGTGAACAGTGATTTTATCAATGCTTCTTATGGTAAAATTTTAAGTGTATGTACATCTATCTATATATATTAATTTGAAAATTGTTTATTTTATATTAATTTAGAAATTGCTGTTTAGCATTACTTTTTCATAACCAGATAATTCACAAACATTTATATACTGTATCACCAGTTTGTTTTGCAAACCATTATAGACTATAAATGTTCCAGTGTGTCATCAGTTTTTGGCTGTATAAATGATAATTATGTTTGCATTTTTACTCATTAAATGTTTAAGGGCTGGTTTTGTGAGTAAAATACATCTGCAATTTTATAAAAATATTTCTTGTAAAATTTTTAAATAATAAAGAAATACAATTAAATTTGATTAAAAAAAGTGGATTGCAGTTGTTCATTGTAGCTTATGGTATAAGGTTGCTATTACTGGTGTGGCTGTGTTCATTTGGACTGCTGCATTATTAACAGATAATTGCCAAAATTACTGTTATGGTTTAAGAAATTACATTATAAAAGTAGTAAATTGATATATTTTTGAATTAATCAAGTTTTTTTATTCGTCTAAACTGTGTATGATTAGACTAATTACATTAGAACATAGTCAAACTTCAGTAGCTTAAAGTTTGTTACTGAAGTTGAGTCATATTTCAGTAACTTAAAATTTATGGTAAATTAAGCAATGCTGATCACAACCAATTGTATTAGAAATTAATTATATTTTTCAAATAAGATTTTTTTTTGAATTTTTGATAATGCTAAAATTATTATTTTTTCATTTTCTGTCAAGTCAAATTCAAATAGCATGATGAAGCTGCTGAGGTTGCATGTAAACCCCCCTTTTTCCCCCAGAATCCTTAAGTACAGAATAATTTGAAAATTAAATTCCGGTTGTTTTTCAAACCAGTACTTACTTCACATGTATTGAATAGTTTTGAGTAATTGTTATTCTTAGGGGAGTTGTATTCTTCTTTATTTTAAAATATATTTTTAAAAAAGTTTTAGAAATGAAGTCTGTGATATTTGGTTCTTGCATATCGTTTGTCACTTGGGACTGTTGTTGTAAAACTTCACTTTGTAATAAGTATTGACTGCACTATCTTAGTGTTATATTATGCAATAAGTTTTGACTTTTCCAGATTGTAGCAAACCTTAGTATTGTACATTTTAGCTGTGTTAAAACGATTAATATATACAGTCAAAAGTCGTTAATTCAGACACCCATAATCCGGAATGATCTATAATCCGGACCTCAAAGCTACAAACTTTTTGCACTTGCGTCGCGTTGACGCATGCATATAGGCGTTTACGTGTGCACGTAAGACCTTTACAGCTGCGAATGCGCGTGTGCGCATGCACATAAAACGTTTATGCATGCATGTTTAATGTATAACGGACGGTATAAGCTATGCTAAAATTATCTAATTCAGTTAATGTTGCAGATTGCGTTGTTCCTCAATCTTCGAATTGGATCCGGCTTATTATTTTTTGCAGACTGTTAGAAGAATTTTATAAAAGTAAGCTTGAACTTTCGATTATATCAAATAGAATTTTCGATATATATTTGCTAATATGTAAAGGATCTAAAGCGAAAGTATGTTTCGAAATCCGAAATCTGTTTATCAATTTCACGCTGCTCGGTGGGGGAAACGACGCGGCGCGCAATGAATTGGAAGTTTATCTGTCAACACTATCCTTATCTTCAGGGCAGATGTTTTTATTTTATTTGGCTTATAATTCCTTACTAAATGTAGTATTTCATCTCGATGTACTCCGCCTTTGATATGATTTAAAACAAGTTCCTCGTCATTATAATTCTCTTCCGATAGTACAGAAAGAGACACCGAGGTTATTGAAAACGAAAAAATTTCGATTGACAAATTAGTCGGTATTCTGGACACAGCAATTATAGGACTTGAACAGTGGAACTTTGTAACTAAACAAGAAATTATGTTTGTTTAATAGAATTAAAGAGAAAGTATTATCACATGAAATGAAGCAACTTAAAACAACTTACACTGAAAAAATGTTTAATAAAGTAAACAAATAAATATTAAGCTTTTTCTCTTTTTTAAATTTTGATACCTTTTAGATCATAATTGTTCTTTATTTCATAAATTGCGGTTTCATATTTTTAATTTTGTAATTTCTGCATGCCATCTTACCAGATTTAAACTGATGATCTATAATCTGGAAAAATCGATAATCTGGAATCGCCGAAGTCCCGACGAGTCCGGATTAACGACTTTTGACTGTATAGGCACTTCCTTATTATTTTAGTACATATTATTTAAATGATATCAAATTTTAAGAATTTATACAACAACACATTTATTCTTACATGCAGTCTTTAGCTGCCATGTTTAAGTGGCTGATATTTACATCAAAAACCTTTTCTTACCCCAAGTTGTCAAAACGTATTATTTTCTTACTTTTACAACTTTTCACTTTGCAACTTCAAATACTTTCTGCAATGTATAGTTTCATTTAATAATCATTTTCACATATCTAAATGCAAGTAAAATGCCTTTTTTGTAGAAGAGTGATGTAACAACTTCTTCATTTTTTGGAAAATCAAAAGTTGTTAACATCTTTCCTATAAAAAAGACAGAAAATGTGATAGAAATAAAATGATAAACCGTGACCTACTCAGAGCTCTTTTCATCGTGTGTGAACTGTAAGTAATAGTGGTTATAACTTCCGGCCATTTGGTGACAGTTTATGATATAAATCCGTCATTCATCAATAATCTTGGTGTTGTTTAAATAATGATCCCCCGGGGAAAAGAGATTAGTTAATACAATTTTAGTGTGCTTATATGAGTTATATGTGTCTACTGTATATATGAGATACAGTCAAAAGTCGTTAATCCGGACTCGTCAGGCGATTCTGGATTATCGATTTTTCCAGATTATAGATCATCAGTTTAAATCTGGTAAGATGGCATGCAGAAATTACAAAATTAAAAATATGAAACAGTAATTTATGAAATAAAGAACAATTATGATCTAAAGGGTATCAAAATTTACAAAAAGAAAAAGCTTAATATTTATTTGTTTACTTTATTAAACATTTCTTTCAATGTAAGTTGTTTAAGTTGCTTCGTTTCATGTGATAATACTTTCTCTTTAATTCTATTAAACAGACATAATTTCTTGTTTAGTTACAAAGTTCCGCTGTTCAAGTCCTATAATTGCTGTGTTGAGAATACCGACTAATTTGTCAATCGAAATTTTTTCGTTTTCAGTAACCTCTGGGTCACTTTCTTCACTATCGGAAGCGAATTATAATGACGAGGAACTTGATTTAAATTATATCAAAGACGGAGTACATTGAGATGAAATACTACATTTAGTAAGAAATTATAAGCCAAATAAAATAAAAACATCTGCCCTGAAGATAAGGATAGTGCTGACAGATCAACTTCCAATTCATTGTGCGCCGCGGCGTGAAATCGATAGCAACATTTCGTATTTCGAAACATACTTTCGCTTTGTAGATCCTTTACATATTAGTAAATATATATCGGAAATTCTTTTTGACATAATCGAAAGTTCAAGCTTACTTTTATAAATTGCTCTAACAGTCTGCAAAAAATAATAAGCCGGATCCAATTCGAAGATTAAGGAACAACGCAATCTGCAGCATTAACTGAATTAGATAATTTTAGCTTAGCTTATACCGTCCATTACACATTAAACGCACATGCGCACACTCATATTTGCAGCCGCAAAGGTCTTACGTGCACTCGTAAACTCCTGTGTGCATGCGTGATCGCGACGCATGCCCAGAAAGTTTGTAGCTTTGAGGTCCGGATTATAGATCATTCTGGATTATGGGTGTCCGAATTAACGACTTTTGACTGTATTAGCTATTATATCTACTTTCTTGTTTTGGTGGATTTCGCTGATTCCTCTCATTGCTTGGATGCCTTGGCATGGTTGAGGGAGTCCCTTACTGGGTTTAAAGTTGACGCTTAAAACTAACCTACTACTGTTAGCCGTAGGGTATTGGGATGACAGCACCTTCTCTGGATCGGATGACTTTGCCAGCTGATCGGAATATGGACCTTAGCAAAAAGCATATGTAAAAGAGCTGCAGATAATATGTAATGGACTGGAAGATCTGTTAATGACAGATCAAACAATATTTCTAAGACTGTGGCTCAATTAGATATCAGTTCTCTTTGATGAGTTTAATAGTCGATCAATATCTTCACTGAAATAAAAGAGAAGGAAAACAGGAGCAATTTCATATTGATCAAGAAAAAGTAAATAGGACATATGCTGATGCTGTAAAACATCTGCCAAGATCTACATTGCAAACAACAATAAAACCTAAACCAAACAAACTAACTAAGCAGCATGGTTACCATTTACCCAATGGAGGGCACATCATGTTTTAAACAAATTAAAAGACAAATTTTGAAAAGCATCAACTTCAAGTGGGTATAAAAAGACTGCAAAGCATAAAAAATGGTGGGATTATAATGAAAACAAGTAAAGAAGAAGACCTAGAGATCATTAAAAATGAAATTAAGAGCAATAAAACTGTTAAACAAAAGATAGAGCTTAAGCATGCAAAGAAAAGAAACCCTAAAATAGTGATCTATAATATCTCAAAAACGGTCTCAAAAGAAATCATTTTTGCCCAAAATGGTGAGATTAAAGCAGAGCAAATTACAATCAAGTAACTCATCCATGTTCAAAGACTTTGGGTATTAGAAGCATTACCTGAAGCTTATAAAACATTAATGAAGCTCAGAAAGGTATTCTTTGATTGGGAGCAATTAAAGGCAGATCTTAAGCCTATACAGTCAGCATAAATGCTGTCAATAGGGACATATTAGCACTAAATGTGCTGCAGAAGAAGCCTGCGGATTGTGTGGAAAATTGGTCATAATTATTGGAAATGCAATAGC